TTTATTGGATACTACTAAAGACTATAATATAAAAATTTGTATCTTAATAAGTAATGATTTTAAAATGGCTAATACTATGTTATTCTTAAGTTATTTCACATCAAACTATAACTTATTGACATTGAAATGTGATATTAACTATTGAAATTTTTTGACATTAAGAAATGGCCTAAACATGACAAAGGAAATGATTTAACCTTTTGCTTTTTGGGATTCATCAGTCCACTCAAGAGCTTTTGGATGCAAAAATTGTAGGTATTTCTTTAAGCCCAATAAGTAGTAGAATAGAAATGGAATGTACTTAATTATATTACTGGTAAGAGATGAGATTATGTAAAACATGGCATAGCAGTCATTAATTAGAAAACAGAACTCAATCATCTACTTGACAGATATTACTGGTAATCTGGTATGTGTCAAGGTATTGTCCTAACATTGACTTTTAAAATGATTTCCTTTAAATTATGCTTTCAAAGTCAATTACAAAATTTCATATTTGTCACTTTGGAAGAAATTAATTACCTTAAGTGATAATTTCTGTAGCACAGACCCCAGTCAGTTAAGAAACGCTATAGCCATAGTGAAGTTGCACTGAGTTAAGAGATCATAGAATAAAAATAATCTTTATGATATGTGAAACTTCTAATATATTTGTTGGTTTAATTTCTAATACATTTATGAGAACAATTTTAATTCAGTGTATATAAATGCACTGTTTATAATGTTACATACTATTGCCACACATGTATATTTTATGTCTTGCTTTATATATGTGATACTTGCTTGTAAGAGTTGACCTTATTTCCAGTTTTGTGATTTGGGGTATTGTTATCATTTTAAGATGAAATTTTGGTTTCTTTTTTATTTTTAAGATTTATTTATTTATGCATACTGAACCGGGGTACAGGCCAGCAGTGCAGGGGCAGTGAGAGGATTCGCCAGAGACAGTGGGGGGCAGAACAGGCTGATTGACAAAGTACACTGCTGAGGGGAGCAGTGGGTGAGTTAGGAGAGGTCTGCCGCACCATGTGGATCAACTCTAGAGCGAGAATAGAACTCATGCTGAAGTGATGTTAGCTTTTTAGTGTTGTGCTTTAACCACCCGTGAGGGCCCAGATTAAGGTTTTTAATGTAAGTAAATCTGGAATTATCCACATTGAATATCATTGTAACTTGCCTTTTGATCTCTTTTGTGTACAATTTTTTTCAGATCTGCACTTCAGTCTTTCAAAAGTAGAATTCAAGCTACATATACAGAGATTGAATCAGATGTTCTCATTTTTTATTTCCTACACTATTACTTTTCATTCCTAAATTTCACACTGTCTGAGATTATTAATCAAGTAAAAACAGATAAAGGGGGCCCTCGCTGGTGGCACAGCAGGTTAAAGCACAGCACAAAGAAGTTTAAGCCACTTATGCATGAGTTCGATTCCCGCCTGCCCTAGAGGAGATCCACATGGCGTGGCAGACCTCTCCTGACCCGCCCGCTGCTCCCCTCAGCAGTGTATTTCGTCGATCTGCCTGTTCTGCTTCCCATTCTGTCTCTGGTGAAGCCTCTCACCACCCCTGAGCCTCTGGCCTGTACCCCAGTTCTGTATGTACAAATAAATAAATCTTAAAAAAAAAAAAAAAAAAAACAGCAGACAAAGGCCTTTCAAAATTTGAGAATAGGGACAGCATTTTGATGACTAAGCTATTCGTTCTCTCTGTATTTTTTTTCCCTAACTGGTCTCCTTTTCTTTTCTGTTCAGTTAAACCATAAAGCACAGAGTGTTAAACTCTTAAAATAGGCATCTCTAGTAACTGAATACCCTTCCTGGACTTTACATCTGGACCCAGCTCCATTGAATCAACTTTGCTAATATTTGATACAAAAAGGAAGGAACAATCTGAGGAAGTTAAATGAGTTGATCAAAGTCATAGAACTCACATAGTAGATTAGAAGATGTCTAATCTGTAGTGACTGAATGTATATTCCAATGGGTCTCCCAGAAATGAATCAGATGGTAGTTAGTGAAGGAGTATAAGAGTATAGGAGTATAAGAATTTTTTCCCCCAGCCTTGACTAAGCCAGAAGTGGACTACATAGGAACTTGTTCTCCCCAGTCCACCCCCTTGATTTTTGGTCATGTTAAGAATTTTAACTAAGAACAATGAAAACTCTTTCTAAAAAAATGTTCTTTTTAAACTAACATTTTTAAAAAGATTCCTATGTCCTTGAGAATGAATGGGTAGTAGTAGGGTATATTTCTGACTGATAGAGCCCATTAGATGGCATTTCTCTGAGAAGTCCATCTTGCAGAGTAGAAGGAAAATCATAAATTGTCATTTAGAATCATTGTGTTTAAAAGGCTATGAACATTCAGCTGCTATAACACATCTGGAACACATCTCAGCAGAGATCAAGAGCTAGAGATAAGAATTTAATGAAGGTCTTGGCTGTGAGTGAGATCCTGAGGGAAGAATCTAGGTTGAGTAGTAAGTAGCAGAATTTGGTAAAGAGAGATACAGTAACTATCTAAAAGGATGGAATAAATCTGTAGTTTAGCTCTCTCCCTATTTCACTCATATTCTATATAAAAAGTAATTGGCAAGTAGAGAATGTGTAGGACAGGGCTATATCCAGAACCCAGATCAGTGAAATGTTATTCAACTCTTTAGAAATATCACTATTACAAAGAGTACTTGTAACAAAATTACATAGAATTACATGTAACAAAAGTTTGTTCAATTTTGCCTATATTTTATATAAACCATAGTCCTGTATTATTTGTTACGTAGTTTTTTCCTAATAAAAATTGTAAAGCTTTCTATAAATTTCTACAAAGTCCATAACATCCTAGAGTTGCTAGGAAACCCTTCAACTGCCCAGTTATATTCTTTACTGCCTCGTAATTTCTCAAACTCTTAACATGTTGAAATTCAGCTCTATCTTTACCCTCATGTCTGCTTTTTGTAGTCTATTCCATCAAGTCACAAAGCTCAGACCACTTTAATTCTTTTTCTCTCAACCCCCAATACCAATTACACAATCAGATTTGATCAGTTCTACTCTAAAGTGTACCCCTAGCTTGTCCACTTCTCTCTGTATCCATTACCATTCCTCAGCTTCATGCTGCGACCATCTCCTACTTGAATTACCTCCATACTTTAACTTTTCTCCTCGCTTACCTTCTTGCTCCCCTCTCTCAGCCATTCTTCCTATAGTTGAATTAGGTATTTTCTTGTTCTTCTCCCTGTTGAAATCCTGTACATGATTTCCTTTTATACTTACGATAACATTCAAGCTCCTTTCTTGTCTACAATGTATGGCGTATGCCGACTTTGTCAAACCTTCAACTTACTTCCTACCAGAGCTGTTCCTTGCACTGTATATCCGTCCCAGCTCTTCACATGGCCAGTTTTCACAGAGGTCTTTGCTGAACCTCCCTCTTAAGATATGTCCAGATGTCCTTCTTGGTTTGGTGGAGGAAGCCCTTTTTTGGAGGTGACTGCTTTTGGAGCTGATCTTAGTGACAGGAAGTTACATGAAGATATATAGAAGCATCAGCTGCAAGACATGAGGCTAAGATGACTGAATTAAAATCCAGAAGACTTCAATCCAAATGTGACTCAACTTGCTGAAGCATTTAGACGAGAGTCTCCATACAAAATCAGATAATTTAAAATTTTAATCAAATAAGGCATGCTTTGCAGGAAGCAAATCTCCATTCTGTATGTCATTGACTACCACTTAGATTCCTAGACAGGTTTCAGAAGTACTTGTGATGCCATTGACTCAACTCAGGAGTGAATTCATGAGGGTTTAGTGACTGGCACACAGCGTGCTCCCCCATGCCTACTTCTTCTTGGGCAGGAAGCATTGTTCAGTAGAAACTATCACTTTCAATGTCATTGAGACATGAGCCCAAACTCAGCATTCTCAGTGCATACTGACAGGGAAACTTGTGCAGTGTTTCATTCTCCATCCTGATTGGAGGCTGTGGTGGAGATTAAATTATAAGGCTCCAAGCTGTGGATCAAATGTTAAAAATGGCACTGATCATTGTCTACTTACAATATTTAACCCTAGCATTTTAAAAGAAACTTCCACCAAATTCTAAGAGTGTTTTACATCAACTTAAAAGCTGTGCAATTTTATATGTGCAAGCTTTTGGGAAGAAACAGTTGATGAGCATATTACCTGGAATGTCCTAATGACTTCTCTTGTGAAAATAACAGGAAAAAAAGGATTCTGTATATGAGACAATGATAATGTAATAGAGATTGCTGTTTCTTCTAGTTTTTATTTGATCTTTTTAATCTCTCTGAAGACATAGTCTCAAAGAATGTGGAAAACTTCAAAAGCAGAATAGAAGCATTCCCATTGACACATAGAGATCTTTATGGCTTTCTGTTTACCTAGTGATTTTTTTTGTAAAGTCCTTGAAAACAAAAATCAGGAGTGAAATTGGGAGCCAACCTTCCTATATTTAATACTAGAGTGGAATCATAGGTCAGAGTGTTGGCACACAAATAAATGTTAGTTTGGCACATAAAGTGCTTTCCAATTTCATTTTTGTTTTCATTTTACTTTTTGCTTTAGATTACAAATTTATGACATTAATCATTATACTCAAAGGAATTTTTAGACTCAAGAGCAAGACTTACATAGTTCTTCTGTCCCAACCAGTGCAATGGTTCATTTTTTATTTCCATAAGAATTTCAAAAGTATCAAATTTATAGACAATTGTTTCTGTCTATGTTCTTTTACCTTTTTTTCCCTAGGATTATGACAGTTTTTTTGAATCAAAAGAAAGCAACACAGTCTTTTCATTCTTAGGCCTGAAATCACGGTTGGCATCAAAGGTAAGGAAACCTTCTCTTGTTTTAACTTTACCTTTCATGAATTGTTCTTAGGGATTAGAGTTGAAGATAATAGAGAAATGCAAAATATAAGCTCATAAATTCTTAGCTTTAGCCTTGTTTATTTTTTTTCCAAATGCACAATTAGAGACTGCCCGGTATAAAAACAT